CCCTAACTGCCTCTGCCTTTGCCCCCACCACCATGGCTTTGTCCAGAGGAAGTTGGACGTCCAGAAGATGGCCAGTCCACCCGATCTAATTAGCATATTATCCTTTTATTAGTATAGATTTTATATCCTGTTTTTGAGCCTGGGTGGTCTCTAGAATTCAGCAGAAACTCTCAGGTTTCTCAAGAAGGGGAATTTATTGCTTTCTTACCTTCCAGAATTCCTGATTTCACTATGTTTTGGGTCTTTGTAGAATTTTCATCTGTATGTGTTCAGTAGAATGTTTAAAATGATTTTTTTTTGGCTTTGTTTTTAATTAGGAAGGGTATTCAGGGTATCTACTCTGCATTATGCCATAAGAAGAGGTTTCTACTCATTTAGCATCCCACAGTATAGATATACCATAATTTGCTAATTCTTTCCTTACTAAGGGATTTAGGTTTCTTTCTCCCCTTTGTTAAAAATTATGACGTAAAATTTTTTTGCATGTAGATCTTTGTGCACCTGCAAGTAGTTTTCATTGCTCATGGCATGAGGCAAAGAAACAGGATAAGTTCATTCTTCTTCAGCTTTTTCTGTGCCACTTAATTTGTGGATGCTTTAAGTGCTGTTCAGAATGTGTTTTCAGATGTCCTCTAAAAATGTCCCACTCAAACAAAAGGTATTATCATTACCCCATTGTTGTCTCTGAATAGTGTATGTCTACTTTGAAAGGTACCCAAAAACATTGCCGCTGATCCTGGACTATGTTTTGGGTTCATGAACAAAGTGGAAGTCATGTACCAATCTGTGGCACAATGCAGAACACGGCCTCTCATGTTTCTCAAACAGAATCAAAGGCCACATAAAATTATGTTTTCGGATGGCTGAATTGCAAATAAGTGAGGAAATGAAACAGCAGGCTATGAGCCCTTAATAATCGACAGTGCAGGGCCACATGGCATTGGTTTCCAAAGTAGAGGCCTTTTACAAAGCAGTGACTCTAGCCTAGATTATGTCATCCTGCGTATTGTAAGCACATTCTGTGCATATCATTTGTCATATAAAAATAATTTCCCTCTTCATGGTTTATTTTTCCTTTATGGCACATTTTGAATTCCAGATTTTTTTTAATCTGCCATTTGGCTTTCCATAAACTATCAGGCATGATCTTTGTGAGATTCTCTGTTTTGAGAAACTATCTACATAATATTTATTTATGATCTATGACTCATAATTACATTGTCATGATATATCCCTGGTCTTCAAAATGGCATCTGATAGTTCAGTGCCTTTTTAACAATAGACAAGATGTTTTCTAAAGCAGCGTTTGCCAATTGGGGCCTGAAAGGTTGGCAGCTGCTGGTTTAAGGAAACCTTTGGGGCAGCGGTCACTAACCAGTGGTCCGTGAGGTCTGAAAGGATGGCGACCGCTGTTCTAAAGACTTTTTTCCCGGAAATCCAAATGTTTCTTGGGGCTCTTTCCAAGAATTATGACATTTTTATTTATTTTTATCTATATATATTTGTTTTTTAATCCTCACCTGAAGATATTTTTCCATTGCTTTTAGATAGAGTAAAAGGAAGTGTGTGTGTGAGTGTGTGTGTGTGAGTGTGTGTGTGTGTTTGTGTGTGAGTGTGTGTGTGTAGAATGAGAGAGAGAGAGAGAGAGAGAGAGAGAGAGAGAGAGAGAAGCATTGATATGAGAAAGACACATTGATCGGTTGCCTCCTGCACATGGCCCTACCAAGCCAGGGGTCAAGTGTGCAATTGAGGTATATATGCCTTGACTAGGAATCGAATCCACGACCCTTTGTTGTGCGGGCTGACTCTAAACACTAAGCAATCTGGCCAGGGATCTTAGGCATTTTTAAATTTGAGGACTAATCCAAAATTCTCATATCATTTTTGTTTGAATTTTGACTATGTAATCACTCTTTAAGGTAGACATTTGCATTTACTCAATACTCATCCTTGTTTAAAACTTTAATTGCTCAGATGTCCTTAAGCTTATAGTAGATTGGCCGGCTTTGGTGACATCTCTCTGGCCTTTGAGGTTGGCACAGTCCAATATAGCTATCTCAGGGGTGTATGGCCATTGAAAAACATGTTTTGGTTGTTGAGTGTTTTTGCTTTCTAATAATTTTATTTTTTTATTATCTGTTCAGATAATTTATTTTTTAAGGTCACATAAGTAAATGACTTGACCTCTAATCTTAGCTTTGGAAATTCCCCAGACACTAATAAAGATAATTTTTATTTGAGAATACTACTCACTGGCCTGCAGTCAGTACTATTTAAAAATATGTATTTATTCTAAAAATGATTTTCTACCTGGCCAGTGTTCTCAGAGCATCAGCTTGCTCACCAAAGACCTGTGGATTCAGTTCCTGATCAAGGCTAGTGCAGGAGTCAACTAATCGATACATCAATATTTCTTCTCCCTTCCTCCGTCCCTCCCTTAAAAACAATGAAAGGGATATCCTCGGGTGAGGTTTAAAAAATAACAGAACAAAATAAAAGATTTTCATAGTTAAAATACTTTCTTAGAAAAATCATGCATGTAATGACCTGATTTGGTGACTATTGGGCCTAGATTTATAATGCTTTTTACATGGTGTCATTGAGACATAATACCATTCTAAACAACTCTTCTCTACAAATTCTGTACCAAGTGCAGATACCCTTCAACTTAAAATGGGGTATATCCCGATAAACCCCTTCTAAGTTGAAAATGCATTTAATACATCTAACCTACTAAACATCATAGCTTAGTCTAGCCTACCCATGCTTAGCCCACAGATGGGCAAAGTCATTTAACACATAGTCTGTTTTATAATAAACTACTGAATATCATGTAATTTTTTTATGTGTATGGCTTTCATGCTATTGTAAAGTTGAAACATCATACGTCAAACCATGATAAACATAATTATTTCTGAGAGAAATATCCTATAGACTATAATCTTATAAAAAATAGCACTGTTCTCTTGAACTAATAACATTTGAACACACAGGATTGTAGAGCAATACCTGCTTTGCATGAATATATCAGTAAGATTTTTTTTTTTTTTTTTTTTTACAAAGGATCAAGTTGCAACTGAAGACTAGTATGATCAGTTAAATTATCTGGACTTTCCACGTCAGGACACAGGCTTAATAATTAGTGGAGTGAAAACGAAGTTTAACAAACTGTATTAATTTATGTGCCAAGGTGTATTCATGAAGAGGGGGGTGGGCAAAGGGATAATTGCTGTTTTTGTTTGTTTTTATTTGTCTTATATCTATAATAACAGACCCTCCTGCTAAGAACCTATCAAGACAGTGCTGTTTTTGGGAGGTTGGTGGAGGAAACTGCATATTGCTACTTTGATATGTTTTCTTGTTAGGCATTTTATTAAGAAACTAGAGGCCCCATGCATGAAATTCGTACATGAGGGGGGGGGGGGTGTCCCTCAGCCCAGCCTGCACCTTCTCTAATCTGGGACTCCTCCAGGGATGTCCAGTGAGATTGGGCCTAAACAGGCAGTCAGACTGCTGGCTCTCAACTGCTCGCCTGCCTGCCTGCCTGCCTGATTGCCCTAATACTAAGATGACCAGATCGTCCCACTTTTGGCGGGACAGTCAAGATTTCTAACAATTTTTTCCGCATCCCACGGCGTTTTAAAAAAGTCCCAATTTTTGGAAAGAATCTTTCCAATCTTTCCAAAAATTGGGACTTTTTTAAAATGCCTTGGGACGCAGGGAAAAAATTGTTAGAAATTGTCACCTTACCCTAATTGCTTCGGTCTGCCAGCCTGATCACCCCCTAACCACTCCCTTGCAGGCCTGGTCCTTCCCAACTGCCCTCTCCGGCTGGCCTGGTCATCCAAACTGCTCTCCCCTGCAGGCCTGGTTTCCTCCAACTGCCTCTCCTGCAGGCCCGATCGCCCCCAACTTCCCTCTTCTGCTGGCCCAGTTCCTCCCAACTGCCCTCCCCTGCTGGCTTGATCGCCCACAACTGCCCTTTCCTGCCGGCCATCTTGTGTGTTGGAGTGACTTTGCATATTACTCTTTTATTAGATAGGATGTTTAGTTCTATCTTAGAAACTCTTATGTACAAAGAGAAGAAACAGTTTACTTAATTAATTGCAATCTTTAATTGAAATTTGTTATAGCCTAGTTTTAGAACAATACTATAAGAGATTTGAGTAATTGAGGTTTTCCCTTAGTTCCAGTGGAAGGGAAGTATTTCAGTTCACTTACTTGAGGCTATAAAGTAATTTGTTCTTCCTTTCCCTACAGCAAGAATTATGAACATAAAATAAAGTCACAAAACAGATTCACTGTTAATTTTAAAGCTTCCCCATATTTCCACCCTCATCTGTTGTAAATAATATGTCTGCCTGTAAAATGGAAAAAGTTGAAATTTTCCACTTGTGCATTTTGAGCTTTTCAGAGGTATTATACACTCTGGAAATAATAATAAAAGATACTAGGCTTTATACAGCACTTTTTGTGTTAGGAACTCATATAAACACTAATGCATTGATCCTAACACAGTACTTGATTGTGACTTTAAAAGGTCATGAGTTACTGCTGTTACAACAAAAAATAAAAGATCGGGGAGAGAGTTCTAATTCATAAATATTGTTTAAAAATATCTAGATAAAAATTGATACAGATAACTGGAAAAATAAAACTTATGGGGGATTTTTATTGTTTGTTAACTTTTCTCTTAGCTTGTAATAGATTTTTATCCCTTTATGTTTTTTCCCCTTTTATTTATGAATTTATTTGAATCCTGATTTAATTCCCTTCTTAGATAAGAAGGCAAAATTTACTTTTAAGCTTTTATTCCTTCTCTGCCACGAAGCCTTAAACCTGTGGTGATTGTTGGAGTTTGTCACATTAACGTAACAATGCATGTTATTAGTCCTAAATTGGGAGATATTCCTTTAGCTTTCTTAGTTTAATATTTGTTGATTTTGATGAATAAAGAGGTGGTCATGTGGCTTAATCTTCAACTTTTTTGTGTTTTGTAGGTTTATTCTTCAGTCCAAGGAGGTAATTCACAATCAGCTGTTAGAGAAACAGAAAATAGCAGAAGAAAAAATTAAAGAATTGGAAGTAAGTTTTGAGTGAATGTTGACAGTAAGTAGCCAACTTTTAGAAAATAGTAATTATCTCATTGTGTCATATTAAATGTATGCCTGCTAAAGTCATGCCATTATTTCATTTTTTTCCTAATTGTGTTAGAGCTATGAAGCAGTCAAATTAATGGCAGTATATAAGAGACAAAAATGTCTCTAGAAACTAGGGAATTTTGAAGAAGATAGGATGTTATTCTGAGTGTATTTTCTCCTTTGCCTTTGAATGAATATATCTGTGTGTTTTTTTTTTTGTTTTTTTTTTAATAACATTTAACCACTGCATATTGTACTGGTCGGGCATGAGCATGGCTAATGATAATATGAAAGGATCTTGATATACTAGTATGTCTCCTTTACACATTGTAATTACTTTAACATAGTTTGGGTTCTAGACAAGGACCAATTATTAAGCTGTAATTAATGAACTATTTGAAGGATATTGCTCTGATGAGGAAAACAAATTATTATTTTTTTAGGTAGGGAAAAAGATTAGTATAGGTAAAAGTAACTTAGTAAATCTTTGGAAAATTGAAGTTTATTATTAAAATGTTCTTATACATTGACTTTTGATGAGATACTCTTCTTGGGCTTTGGTGAAAGGTGCATTCTGTTTATAGTAAAAGTTGGACTGGACAAAAAATGGGTTATTATTTCTTTGGGAACAAGATTTCCTGAGATGGGGTGGATACAGTGACTTCATAGGTCACTTTATCTAATTTGTGTGAGTACCCTTTGAGGCAGTGGTTCAGAATCTGACTCAGCCCTCTGCTGGATTGGTGAGACACCCCCTAGCCGCCTGGGGATCTCTCAGGGGCATTGACTTGGTGTGGCCTGGGTGGGCATGTAGTGTCTTAGGTTACTTAGCCTGGTTTTTGTTCGACTATTGTTGATAATTTAAACAAACTTGATAATAGTTTTGTAGTTTAGAAGGATGTATTATGAAAGTAAAACTAGCAAAAAAAAAAACCCCCCACAAAAAACAAAAAAGAAAAAGCTGCTTCCTGCAATAATCAGATTGTTATTGTGCCTTTTTTTTAATCATTTTTGTCAGCCAACTGTTCTAGGTAGAATTTTATATTCTATGTGGTTTTCAAACAAAAGTATCTTAACTCCAATCACAGCTGTTTCATATAGATAAAAAGTGTGATTTTGCAACTGTTGGTAAATATCTCTAAAAATTGTCCTAATGATAAGTTGCAAGGTGCAAAATAATGTGTATATAATTTTCTTATGATCTCTGTGTTGGATAAATTGTAACAAGTATGCGTTAACTTTTATAATTTAAAAAATTGTCCAAGAAAAATTGCCACAGATGATTATTTAACATACTATTCAGTTCTGATGAGTATTAGGAAATTTATTTTTAGAAAGTGTGTAGAACGTTGCCTTTCATAGAATCTCACATACTGATTAAGTATCCTGATACCTTCAGATAATAGAAGTAGATTAGTTGGCTTGTTGGTACCTGTTTGAAATGCTAATTATAGCTGTTAAAAAACTAGCAGTTAAACTCTAGCCTCTATCCTAGAAAGTTATTTTCTCTTTAATCTTTCATTTTATTGTTATTTATATTATAAAAGCAATATAAGTGCATTAGAGAAATGAAAAATAGTCAGAAAACAAATGATAAAATGAAAATATAACCTTCCCCTCTTCCCTGCACACTCCCATATGTCACCTCTGCAGTAGTGTGTATCATTCTAAACGTTGCTTTATTTTATAAACACATTCATACACACACACATAAAAAATGAATAATTATTCTGTATATGTTCATAATTTGATAACTTATTTTTCCACTTTAATAAAAATCTAGTTTATATGTAATAAAATTTAAAAAATTTTAAAGTGATTTCAGAGAGGAGTGGAGACGGAGAAAGAGAGAGAAACATCAGTGATGAGAGAGAGAATCATTGATCAGCTGCTTCCTGCATGCCCCCCTACTGGGGATTGAGCCTGCTACCTGGGCCTGTGCCCTGACTAGGAATTCATCCGTGACCTCCTGGTTCATAGCTTGATGCTCAATCACTGAGCCACATGGGCCAGACTATATTTAATTTCTTGTTTTCCATTTTGCCTACCATTGTAGGTTCCTTATTATATCAGCATTCAATTATTATACGATCCCTTCCTCTACATTTTGTATACTCTCCAATACTGCCCTATCATGTATTGTTAATACTATCACCCAATACATATCAGTACTCTGTCATCCCTGAAACAGTCCTGTACTTTTCCACTGCTATACCTTTATAGCTTTGTTACTTCAGACTGAAATATATGCATGTGTACACACCCACTTGTGCACTCATACACACAAACATTGGTAATTATAGTGTTCAGCTTTTTATTTATTTATTTATTTATTTATTTTTTGCTTATTTAGTTTAGTTATTTATAGAGATGGATCAAATCTCCCTCTATGATGGTGTTTATCAATTCCTCAGTTTTTCAGTTTAGTGGGCAGTGGTATTTAGAGACTATAATCTGGATGCTGTATGTGCTCATTATTACTGTGCACAGAGTTCAGAGGGTATGTTTCATTTTGCTTTTGCTTGATATGTTTAGGAATATCTCAGCTTTTTTAAAGATAACATTCCACTGACTTCTGGCTTCCATTGTTGCTATTGAGAAGTTATCTATCAGTTTAAATGTTGTTCCTTTGTTTATTTTCTCTCTGGCTATTTTTTTTTTTTTTAAATATATTTTATTAATTTTTTATAGAGAGGAAGAGATAGGGACAGACAGTCAGAAACATCGATGAGAGAGAATCATCGATCAGCTGCCTCCTGCACACCTCCCACTGGAGATGTGCCCACAACCAAGGTACATGCCCTTGACCGGAATCGAACCCGGGACCCTTCAGTCCACAGGCTGACGCTCTACCCACTGAGCCAAACCAGTCCCGGCTATTTTCTCTCTGGCTATTTTTAATGTTCTCTCTTTTTCCTTCTTTTAAAAAAAAACTTTATTGTTGAAAATATTACAGATGCCCCCTCTTTCCCCCTCTATTGACCCCCCCCTCTCTCTTTCTTTAATGCTTTGTAGTTTCTCTGGGATATGTATAGGTATGAATTTACAATAGTCTTTTTATTTTATTTTTTTCTTAGTCCTACTTGGATTAAGTTGAGTTTTCTGAATCTGTGGATTGGTGTCTTCCATCAATTCTGGAAAGTTTTTATTATTTCTGAATATTACTTTCCTGTATTCTCTATTAAATGGTATTTTCTTTAGGAATTCCCCCCCCCCCCCCCATCCCCGCGCTTTAAACCAGCTACCCCTACATCTGCAGTAGATTCTTAGCTGTTTTTTCCATCTCCAGCTTTCCTCCTTCTGATCATTTTAACATATTTAGGTTAGAATGAATTGGAGGGGCTCATTCTTCCTTGGCTCTTTTTCAATTAAAAAATATTTTTATTGCTTTCAGAGAAGAAGGGAGAAGGAGAGATAGAAACATCAGTGATGGGAGAATCATTGAATGGCCGCCTCCTACACGCCTCACACTGAGGATCGAGCTGGCAGCCCTGGCATGTGCCCTGAATGAGAATCTAACCCTGACCTCCTGGTTCATAAGCTGAAGCTCAACCACTGCCCTCATATACCCTTGATAGGGAGTTATATTACTTACTAGAAAGGTAAAGACAAGTCCTGTTTTAACCTTGGAAAGCTAGTCTTACTGTTTTTCTTTTTAAAACTCCATATTTACATTTTAAAACCCTATGTAAGGTTATTCTTCAGACTATAATCACTTAAGTGGGTTTAGGAAATACTTTCACAACAGACTCACAATATAATAATGTTAAATAGATTTTTATCTTTCCTTTATAAAGATAATAGATCAGATTCTGGGAGGGAATGTCACCATTTAATCCTAATAGTGATTAGATTAATGATGCTGATTCTAATCAAGAGAAAATATAAAATGGTTCCTTTAATATGATAGAGTAACCATGTTGTTTGTCATTGAGGGAATTTTCTATTTTTAAAAATATTGATAATAGAACTTTTTAAAGAAGATGGCTGAGTATATACTGCATAATATGAAATGTTATTAGAAAAGTACAAAGCATAATTTTTAAAAATGAGATGAATATAATTGGGATTTGGAATTTGACTCTGAGTCTTATCGGTCTTTGTAAAAATAATTTTCTGTGAAATGTACAGCATACTACAAAGAGATTTTTTTTTCTTTTTTAGAAAACTCAGTTGTACTTAGTTTTTTTTATCCTCATCTGAAGATATTTTTCCCATTGATTTTTTTAATATAAAGTTTTCAAGGATGTCTTTTTTAAAAAAATATATATATTTTATTGATTTTTTATAGAGAGGAAGAGATAGGAATAGACAGTTGGAAACATCAAAGAGAGAATCATCTATCAGCTGCCTCCTGCACACCCCCTAATGGGGATGTGCCCGTAACCAAGGTACATGCTCTTGACTGGAACCGAACCTGGGACCCCTTAGTCTGCAGGCCGACGCTCTATCCACTGAGCCAAACCGGTTTCGGCCCATTGATTTTTTAAGAGAGAGTGAAAAAGAGGGAGAATGGAGGTAGGAAGGGAAAAGGAGAGAGAGAGAGAGAAAGGGAGAGAGAGAGTGAAAGAAAGAGAGAGAGAAACATCAACATGAGGGAGACACATCGATTGGTTGTGATTGGTTGTCTCCTGCTTGAGCCAGACCTGAGCCAGACCTGGGAATCGGGAATCGGGATGGGGATTGAGCCTGCAAGTGAGGTACATGCCCTTGACCGGCAGTTAAACCCGAAACCCTTCCGCCCTGGGCGCTGATGCTCTAACCTAGGGGTGTCGAACTCAGTCAGAGAAGGGGCCAAAATCTAAAATCCAGCCTAAATCGCGGGCCTAATGGTTTACTGAACAGTCATAAACTGTCATTGTGATGGAAACGCAGCGGAGTGCAGTGATGACAGCGTGGTGCGGGTCACATTGCAAGGCCTGGCAGGACGGATTTGGCCCGCGGGCCTTGTGTTTGACACATGTGCTC